TCTACATCAAACCAGTTGTTGTTGACGTTGCTTTTTACTGCTTAATAACAAAAAAGTGATACATATGATCTGTCGGCAATAGCCATATAAATCCATAGCTTAGGCAACGTCACATGGCGTCCGATAAACACTTCCAAATGATCTGTATAATATATCCTATCAAATTAGGAGCTTCTCATCTTATTTTACAAGTGGTTCTGCAATGTGAATATGATGCTGATATCTAGCACAACGTGTACCTATTACACGAAAACATAAGCGGAATGATTACTCCAGGCCTCAGCGGTGAATCCACCGAGTTCTCATTCAGCGCTTGGGCCGCCTGTGGTGGAAACGTAATGCCAATTTCTCACTGCGGGGTTTCGCATACAAACCAACCGATGCACATCAACTCGATAGACAAAAAACAGTGTGACATGGTATACCGGGAGCTTAAACGGATAAATCAGTGAAAAACAACTTCGTAGACACGGATTCGGCTTTCACAGCACGAAAACTAAAGCAAAAAGAAATGCATCTTGTATTTTTCAAAAATTATCTATACATCTTGAAAGATTACCGTTGTGCAATTTCCAAATTATTTCAATTCATTTAAGTGTGCTGGAACAGTTACGGAACAAATGTTCGAATGCTCGCTTAATTTTTTTCATCAAATGATCACCAAGCGATTTGTACTACGCATGACCTCATTCAATGAGGCTGAGTATGCTGAATTATATATAATTCATTCCTCGATACAACATTTTCAATCCCAGTACTTATCGCAACGCCGAAATGAACTCAGAAACAAGGGCAACACTCAATTAATATAGCTTTTTGTGTATGGCTTTATTAATACTTCATTAAAAGTATACATAATAAATGCCCTCACTTATCTCATCGTACTCAAATCATTATGAGTCCATCCCGTGTTGCCAATGACAGCACCAGGTGGTATTTAAACTTGTGAGGATTTCCACTGCCCTTGGGACAATGAAATCCGTCGTCATGTGTACTATCAGCAACTGAGTACCAATAACTATTTAACCTGGTGACTTTCATCAACTTTAACAGGGTATTTGCACGCGTTTTGTGAAAATTACCGAACTATTATAGGTCAGGCGTTTTGGGGGAAAACATTATCATCCACAGAATACAAAATAGCCTTATTCCACGCCAATTTTTAATGCATTTATTCTTACTTTATTTATTCGATGGCATAATTCTCCCTAACTGTATTTTGTACTCGTTCATTGGCTCGTGCTCATAGACACTGATTAAAATGGGTAACTGTTCCAAGGTCAGTTCATTTCCAAACTTTTGACACAAAAAATATGGAATCTTTCTATCAAACCTTTTCCCCATCACATCATAGATGGACCATTCCCAGACCGTGTTCATATATCCTTTAGTTGCCATACTATTGTGGAAATTATAAATCTTCGGCTTAGCTGATTTTTTTAACTGCACTGGTCTCATCGGAAAATCGCACATAATTCGGTTTCGAATTCTGGCTATCAAACAACATACTAAGTGGAGAATCTGCTTGGGTTAGTTGCAGTCACCCATGTGGAAGTTATGGGAAAATAAGATCGATAACTATATACGTACATTTCGCGTACTGATTGATAAACTTAAGTGGGTTTGAGCAAAAAGACGAAGATAACCTGATACAACCATGCACTCCAGGGTTGATCCGTCGACCTTATCTAGCATGAGAAATTATTTCGGTCCCAGACCTGAGGTTCCACGGGTCTAGTGACACAATAACGGAAGGCTCTGTTGATGAATCTCACAAAGGATGGGGCTAGTGCCCAGTATCCATTTTCGGCAATACACCGGCTTTCAGAAATTTCTGCCTACCTCATCGCTTCGTACACACCGACTAGAATCAAAAGCCATTAAGGAAGGCGTGGATTGCTTAGTTTATTAACATTTATATCTTTGATCAGTGATAAACCTGGCCTATGGGTTTTATGCCCTCTGTATGCCCATTATTTCTAATATGACCGTTTTGGGTTAGTGCAAACAATTAGCTGTCAATCTCTTTTAAGGATACTGCTAGTTGCCGTTTGCTCAAACAGTCAAAGGAAGCAGGTTTTTGTAGATCCGTTTCGTCAATAATATGAAAGGAAGCAACTCGTTGATAGATGTACGAGTGTACAAATCACAGTACATTGATGGAAAATAATATGACAGAGATCTCATTGATCTGGAACCTCCCAAATTGTTTGCGACAGACAACGGTGCTCCAAGGAAGTTTCCTTAAATACAGTTCGGCTTAATGCCTAAACTGATTATTGTTGCGAACAATGGTGCTAATTTGTTTATTGATCGTCTGAAACGATCGATAAATCGCAGGCTTTCTGCGGCTGCAGCTATAAATTGTACAATCATCATATAAAGTGTCCTTTTATTACTGAACTATTGCAAGTGTTTGGGAACCATATCTCCAACAGTTTCTAATATATCTACCTCCTCCATTCCATTCATTCTAAACGAATAACGTGGTATCATATTGTCCAAAAAATGTAAATGTTGCGGAATGATTCATTTGTGAATACACAACTCTATCCTTTAAAACAAACTGTGTGATTTATTGCCTTCCCAGGCTGCTTCACATTGTCCCATTCGAAATGGAAGCATTAAATTTGTGACTATTCTTAGTTGAAAATTCTTAGGTTTGTATTCAGTACATACAAAAATCAATGGCGTAATCCGATTGGTTACTTTTATGGAAACAAAAAGCACGGCTGGAAGTCTTCTTCTTTTGGTAGATAGACTTGAAAACGCTTGAGGGAGTCTCTGTTGTTTCATCAAAAACTGTAGCGAAACGGATCGTGAGCATACAAAACGATATGAAGAATGAAACACGTAACTTACAATAACCATTTGAAAAGAAGTAGTCCCGAGTTGTGGCTTGCAATGCATGCGGGAATCCCAGAATTCGACACACAACATTAGCTTCCTTCAAGGTCCAGTTGTCATCGCAAATTGTACCCCAACGACCATTGTGATTGATCAGCACCGTTCCCTCACTTTTGGACGCTCCATCAATCAGCATAAGATTGGAGGCATAACCGGCATCTCGTTGCACACGTCTCACGGGTACGTCAAGTTCATCTTGGGAATCAACTACATCGTTCTCGAGAGGGTGCAATTTGGCATCTGAGTACACAGTGGGCGAGTCCAAGTCAGCAAAATCAGACCACCATACCGCTGGTTGAACCTTTTTCGAGCGCGCTGGGGCAAGGTGGCAAAAGATAATGCCGGTGCAAAGTATGTACCGGTAGAAGAAGTACATGATTCTGTTTGGATGAGAGAGAGCACGGGACTCGTATGCNTTGGTTTGTTAACGTGATTGAACCCGAAACCTGTACCCGTGTGCAGTGCATGCTGACTTTTATACAGGGCACAGTGTACCTCTGACCAGTCAACAATTTGGTTACAAGAATAATTAGCATATCACTACGTTCAGTTGGTCCCTTTGTGTGGGAGTTGATCACCAGTCAGCCACGAAAGAAGTTGATTCATCCGAAAAAGCAACGCCAGGAATACAGAGATAGTTTTTTATGAAAATGAGAACAGAACGTGTCGGAGTCTGGTTGGGGTCACCATACATGTAGAATGGAAGCGTTTCCTCTTATTCTCAGTAGTATGTTTATGCGCTGCAGATAACAAACCAG